TAATTTACCGATACCGTACCGAAATTTCGGTATACCGAAACAAGGTATACCGAAATTTCGGTATGGTAACAGTATGTATTTTTGCGTACCGAAAGTTTATGGTATGATAAAGGTATGCGATAAAATATTCGATATACCGTACCGAACCACCCCTAATTTATGCAACTTGCAATTACTCCGTATTTTAGCATTTATAGCATATCTGGCCCATCTGGTGATTGGTAATATGCTTTAAGTTTAGCGAAAGTTTTATTTTATGCCGGGTCGAGCCATTTGAGAGTAAAGTATGTACATGAACACTCAAAATTTTGAAATACATATTTGTGTAAATTTAATGTTTTTTTTTGTTTTCATGATAATAAAGATAAAAAGTAATTTTTCATCATTTTCAATGGAGTCAAAGATTCACTATTTATTGACTTTGGAATATGATGGAATAAAGCAAAATGTCTTACTAAACTATCTGCGCTTCTTTGTTATGAAGCAACTGTCAGTCCATGCAATTTTTAGTACAACCTCTCTGGGTCATTCGGAAACAACATCTTTGTGCTTTAGTACAAGGGTAAGGTTGCGTACTTGCGTACATCCGACCCCCCTTATCCTATCGTAGGTGGGAGCCTTTTACGGTACTGGGGGTGATGATGATGATGATGAGACTAAAACATGATTAAAATTCTCAAATAGGTCATTAAGTTTTATATTCCCCAAATGGGACTGTAGATTTCTTTTTTACCCCTAATCCCCAAATCATTGTCATTTCCCCAATATCTCTACCATCGATCGCTAACACCTGCGATTACTTTCTCTACATCGGTCTCCCTACGATTCCGCCATGGACGCAACTCGATCACCATCGATTGCAGGCGTTGCTCACCGTTTCTTCTTTTTCCTCCTCCCTCCACTTCTTCCCCCTCTTACGCTCTGTTTTATGCTTTTTTCTTTCAAATCTATAAGTCTATAACCGGTAGGAAATATTTGAGTTTGAATTTTTATTAATCAATTTGGAATATAGGAATGTTATAACTACTGGTTATTAGAAAAAATGTCACCTTTTGAATGGGAAAAATAATAAAAATACCCCAAATTTTGATGGGATGTGAAGTAAACACCCCAAACTTGCGTATGTAATTAAAATACCCCTAACTTTATATAAAAAGTTATTTTCACACCATTTTCATGTATTATTTCTTTCAAAAATGTTAATCTATTAGGTTAATTGCATAATTTAGACTATCAAATTAAAAGTGTTGCAATTATATAGATTGAGGGTAACATTATTTATTTCGCAATGGAAGTTTATAATGTTAATTGTGACTTCATGAATTCTATAAGATTTTAAATTATGAAATTAACACCATCAATTATTATTTATGAAAGAAATAATAGTTGACAATGGTGCAAAAATAACTTTTTATATAAAGTTTGAGGTATTTAAATTACAAATACAAGTTTGGGGTGTTTATCTCACACCCCTTTAAAGTTTGGGGTATTATAATTATTTCCCCCCTTTTTGAATATGAGAATGCGGAATATTAGAAAAAGTCACTTTTTATATTTCAAATTTTAAACTTATACAAATGTCAGTTTTAAATATGACAATTACATAATTTCTTATGAAAATGTCACTATTATGAAAATGTCATGTTTTTTTTTACGAAAAATGTTATTTAAATGTCATAACTCTTATTAAGATGGCATTCCAGCTGGAGGTTTGCAGTGACTTGTTGGAGGGCGGCAACTTCACCGGAGGATGGTGGCGGCTTCGTCGAAGGATGGCGGTAGAGACGGTAGATTTGCTCGAATGTGTATCAGGCCTAGTCAGTATGATGATTCTCAAATGTCATTGGCGATCTAGCACCTGAGAAGCCTGGGAAGGGAAATGTATCGCACAGGCACCTGCAAAACTTTTATTTTTTCCACTAAAAGTAGTTTTGTCAGATTAGCTCTTTTAGTCCTATTTTTGTCCAATAACAAACACGTAGTAGTATTAGTTAGTCATGATTTAAGTTATTTAACACAGGTTATTAATGTAGTGGACTTGAATAAAAAATAAGCACGAGTGACTTGAATAAAAAATAAGCACGAGTGACAAAATAAAATTCATGGACCATTGTAATTAGGATTATTGTGACAGCTTTTATTCATAAAGCAGTAATAGATCTTATAAAAAAAAATCGTTATAAATGGGGGATGTCACAATATTAATTTTTGGTGAATTAACATCGGTAATCAGTAGTGGACTACGAAAAAAAATCAAGAACCTGAATAAGTGAGATATGCTTCGCGTTAATCAACCGACCTAACCGGCCATTCCAGTAGGTGATTAGCTTGATATTTTAAAGCTTTTGTAATTGATTTTTCATCCAGCAGAGCAATAACAAAAAAATTGGCCCATGCAGGTTTCGAACCTGCGACCTTCGCGTTATTAGCACGACGCTCTAACCAACTGAGCTAATGGGCCCTTGTTGAACACAGGACAACGTTTGGATTGTTGACTTACAGACACAACTTTCCGGTATGTTTCCTTACAGAGACAACTTTGACAAATGCTGTTCCAAAGTTAAGAGTGTTAGACGTGAAAATAATTCGAGATATCAATTTAAAATGTTTTTAATGGAATTGAAATCTCTATTCTGTCGTGTTTAAATTTGATTCGATTTTGTCTAATTTGAATTAATCAAGTCTAACCTAGTTTAATTTGAATTAATGTCAAGTCCATATATATAGATTTTACAACTGTAAAGTCTAGTCTAATCTAGTGTGCTTAAACCTGATCTGATTTGTTTAATCTTTTCTGATCTAAATGTGACGATAATTAGTCCACATAAAAACATCATCAGGAATTACGCGTTTGCATATTCTTGACTACACAAAGGTTTCAGCTACCTAGAGTCAGTCCTGATTAATTGAAGGTTTTGGGGGGAGAATTTAAAATGAGCTTAATAAAAAAAAGTTGTGAAACTCTTATTCACCTAAACTAACATGTATAGTAAGAATATTTCGAGACTTCCATAATAATGAAGACTTAAATTTGTTAAACTAAACATTTTAGGATCACAGTTTCAAAATAAAAAATAAAATACTAGTAAAATATTACTCTTTCTATCCAATTTTAGTTGTCTTATTTTTCTTTTTGGACTATCTCAAAATGATTGTCATCTTTCCATTTTGAAAATAAATATGTGATCATTATCATTTCATTTTATTCTATACAAAATCTCAATTATAATATTTATTTTTCGATCACTTTATTAATAATTATGTCAAACTAAAAAAAGACATTCAATGTAGGACGGAGGTAGCTAGTCATTCAATACATTTCTCGGTGAGTATTGTGAAGCGAAATCATTAAGGTTAGCTTCATAAACAAGCTTTTCTGACTTTACACAAACAATTTTTTCATTGAACATTATTTTACTGAGAGCCTCATCTTTATTTTCCCCCCCTGTTTTTCTTTCTTTCTCTCATCCAAATTCAAACATTTTATTAGTGCTTGAAATTAATTAAATTTATAAATTTAATAATTATTTGTAGAATATTAGGAAAGCAGGAAGCACTGAAGTCTAAAAGGAGGGAGGGAGGAGTCAGGAGCAGGTTGGGCGCCGGTCGGGTCATAGGCTCACAACCGTCGGTATCTACGCAGGAAGGCCGGTCAGCATTCCGATTGCGTGAATTCGTCCTCTCACCGACTTTGCTCTTCAGGTCTTCATGGGTGAGTCTGAGACGAATCAGATGATAGTTGGTTGGCTGTGGGCAGTGACGATTGGGCGTTCTGCACTTCTGCGTTCAGTTCACAGCAACATTTAAAACAATCTCACCCCTGTATCCATACGGAAAGAAGACTACCTTCCTTTCCGCATGGATTCAACTGCCATTGTGATTAAAGATGAAATGTGAAGACAAAGATGAAATGTTCTTCCTAGGAATTTTGCAGAGGAAGATGAATCGGGAGCAACGCAAACGGAGATTGAACATTTCCTTTTTTCCCTTTTTTTGTTTGTTTATACAGGCTCTGTAGGTTTGCAAGTCACTGGATCAATTGCGGAAGACCATATATGAAACTCAGAATATACGGAGTAGTACATATTAGAATTACTTGTATTTGAGATCAATATTGGAAGTTATATTTTTGACAATGTTATGATTAGAACAAATTTAGTATTTATATACGAAGTATTTATTAACGATTTAATGTTATAAATATTTCATGAACAAAAGTAGATATTAAAAGTGACTTCTTATTAGAAGAATATACAATACTAGTACTTCTATTTTGGAATAAAATAGTACCCGGAGTAACCGAAGGTCCGAAACTGCAAAAATATACGTAGTATTAGTAAAAGTGTGAGAAATGCAAGAGTTGGCAAAGGCACAATGTTCATCCAATAACACAAAAAATGATATAAAAGTACATGCTTTAAGAGAATCTGTGAGTATGACTTTGTGAGTGCTTCGAACTGATTCTGCTTTTGCTTCTTTTTAAAAGCAGAATCAGAATTAGAATAAGTTTTCAGAAGCCGGTCCCCTCAGCTTCTAAAAAAACTGATTCTAGGAGTAAATTATAGCACCAGAATCACTTCACCACTTTCACCCAAACACTCCGACTAGGGGTGGACCCGGGCCGGTTCCGATTCGGGCCTGGACCCGTCCGGCTTTTGTTTGGGAAGTAGGGAACCAGAACCGACCCGGGTGGCCGGCAGTTCCGGGCCGGGCCGGTTTCCGGTTCAATGTCATTTTTTTTATTTTCTTTTGTTTTTCTAAATTACCCCCGACCCCACCTTCAATCCCCAAACCCCCCCAAAACACCCAGCCCTACTCGGCAGGAACCAAAAAAAATTGAAAAAACAAAATAAAAACAAATTTGGCCCGAACCGTCCCCAAGACCGGGTACCAGGGCGAGCAGGGCCCAAACAGTATCGGGCCGGGTGGCCCGACCCGAGGCCACCCCTAACTCCGACTTCTACTTCTGCTCCTTCAAGGAGCAGAAACAGTTTTAAGAATCAGATCCAAACATCCCCTATATACGAAATAAGCATAGTGCAGTGTCACAATTTGAATCCAACAAAAGAAAAGCATGCGGAGAACAAAGCTAAGTTGTGGAAGTATTAACAACAATTGCAACTAACACCCAATAAGTGCAAATCCATCCTCAACCCAACCCCTTTCAGGAACAATAACTCTTAAATTCTTCCACCCATATGCCCTTGACCGAAGAAGGGTATTTCACCAGAAAACTTGTTATTGGCTAAATTAATGACTGAAGAAGAGGTTGCGTTTGAGTTATAAGTACCATTCTCAATCTTTGAGGATCACGAAATAAAAGGGCAAATCAGATAGAGCAAAACATGTTGCCATCCATCTTAATTCATAAATGGAAACTGCTCTTCAATATGTATGATGATGATAATAATAATTTGGAAAGAACGTTCAAAGCTTCTACAAAAGTCATTCAGTCAATGATCGGAATGTAGAAACAAACACTCGACCATCCTTTTCCACATCCCCATTGTTGGTGCAAACCCATGCCTAACCATTTGCTTTAGTAGCCAGTCGAGTTGTGCAGTTAGATTTTGATCACACAGGCCATGAATAGCCAATTTATACGACTTGAAACTCGGATTCTCTCCTTTCTCAATCATCATTCCCATAAAGCCTATGGCATCAACAAACCTTTTGGTACTGAGAAGCCCATACAGCACCTCCTGAAAAGTCCCCCCGTTTGGATCACAACCTTTGTGCATCAACTTCATGAAAACCTCAATCCCCTCTTCAACTCTCCCTTGCTTCATAAATCCCGAAATCAAGATATTAAATGTGATCGTATCCGGATCCACTCCTTCCTTTCTCATCCTCTCCAACAACCCATATGCGTCCTCAACGCAACCGCGATCACAGAGTGCGCGCATAATTGTTGAAAAAGTCCTTACGGTAGGCCTGCAGTTTTGCTTGGGAAATTCTTCGAGCACTTGGAATGCACTGTCAAGTTTCCCACAGTTGCATAATCCTTTTATGATGATATTCAAGCAACAGGCATCTATCTCGATACCCAACTTTGAGGCACCCAAATACACTTCGTGAACAACATCAAACTGCTTCGTGTTCACGAGTAAGTTCAGAACAAAATTGAATGTTCTTACACTCGGCCAACACTTGTAATTAGGCATATCAAAGAGGGTATATGTGGCTCTGTTTATTCTACCACCTACATTCCCATATATCTTGATCACCTCGTAGAAAAACTCATCGGAAAGCCTGCATTTTCTCTCACATTTGATTCTTTCCATAAGGGTATCAATTCCGTCAAAGTTCTTGGAATCTGCAAGCTTGTTGATGACCGCTGAGTAGAGCGCTTCATTAGGGTTGTAGTCTTTTCGTTTTGAGATTTGTGTCCACAGACTCAAGGCTGAATGTGGGTCTTTCAGATTATGGAAAATTTTGATCACTTGTGTAGGACTGAGCCAGTCTTTGTGCTTGTTGGGGTCGAAGTTTTCATAATTTCGGGTTTCAGGTGACAAAAGACTCGATCTTTCTGCAAAAGTTGAATGAAACAGTAAAGATTGAGAAACGACGTGCGTGTGGAATATGGGTATGTAGGCTGAAAGGGATAGTCGAATCATTGTCTAGACCAGTGAATGAATTGGAACTGATGAAGAATTCATTCTCTCCATCTCTCTCTCATATCTATCGTAATCTTAATATAGCAGCAAAAGATTGTGGACAGTGTTTTGCCACTCAAAATATTTGGCTATTCTAGAAGACTATTGTAAAGTTACAATGTCTGAACATCCTAAAACAAACGTGCTGCATAAATGTAAAATGCTGACCGATAAAAAGCATCATTAATTATGCAGCACTACTACTCAGTACTCACCATTCATTTACGGAAAAGTCGCTGTGTACACACCCGCTTACACAGCGGTGTACACAGCATAAATACTATCCCCCGTTTTTACTTTTCCCCTTCTTTTTACCCGGCTCCCACCCCATCCCCAATTCCCCCAATCCTCTCTCTCTTTCCTCTTTTCCCTACCGCACAAATCATTCGCCCCTCCTTCTGGTTTTCTTCCTCCGCCTCTTCTTCCTCTCGCCTTCGGTTAGATTTCTTCTCTTCTTCCCTTTTTAATTTATTGATAATGAAATAATAGGGATATAGCCATATGAAACAAACTTCGGTTCTTGGATCCCTTTTTTTCATGCCGGCCATCATAAGTGTGAGAACGGGGTGGTGGAGGAGGAGCTTCCTCCTCAGCCCAAGTCCAAGACGATTGAGGTTTCAATTTCCTTACTATGCTGCTAGTTAGTTTTGTTACTGACTTACTGTTTTGCAGGGGTGGAAATTACTAAGATGGATCAATGGACTTGTCTCTATTTTAGTTCCATTGTTACAAATTTATGGTTGGTTAAAAAAATGTTATAGGAATTATAATTTTCACTATTTTAGTTAGATGTTTTTTACACCATCCATGTTATTAGTATGGATTTGTGATGATTATAATTTTAATTTTTATTCAACTATTGTATTTCACTTTTATGCCTATAAGGTGTTTGTTGAAATGCTTTAATGAATGCTTTTGTTTCAAATCATGTTTTTTTTGTAATTATTCTCCTCTTCTGTTTATATGTTTGTATCTTTGCTGGATTTTAAATATTATTTTTCACTTTTCCAGCTTAAATTGTGTTAGATTGTGGTTTAATTTGTTTGACTATTTTATTTGATCATTCAAGTTTAATAGCTGCAATGGTTTTTATATTACTTTTTATTCTACTTAATAAGGAGTACTGCATAGTATTTATTAATGTTAATTTGAATATTATGAAATGGTGATGTTAAACTTTGAAACCTTTAGGCTTTTGTACCATTGAGATAACCTCAATAGTATGGTTGGATCTTATGTATGTTTTATGAGTGTGTATTGTTGAAAGTGTGTTGTTCTATCTTCTTTAGGTTTAGTTGTTCTTTCTATATTTCAATGTGGTCTGTTTTTATTTATATAGTCAGAATTATTCATATTGAGTTGTGCATGTTTTCTTATTATTTATTGAGCTTATTTTATATTGTAATTTGTAATCCTTTTGATTTGATTTATTATAATGTTATTACGCCCTTTGCGATTGAACATTCAATTGTTGATAGTTGGCAAGAACTACTTACGCTCTTTGCATGGTGAAGATAATGAACCTTCAAAAGAGGCGTGTGATAAATCGAATGATGGCAGAACAAGGATTGAGGAAGTCGAGAATCAGAGATTTAGAATACATTATAACTAAGTATTTTATTCTTGTAACTAGCTATATGGTAAAGTTAATATTCTTGTATTTAGAATGATAGTGTAATTCGAGTTGCTAATGTCTTCAATGTGTGTTTTCTGTTATGAAAATGAACTTGGATATTGTACAACAAATTTGTGTTATTAATCCATATTGTTAGTTGGCTAAAAAGGATATCTGAATGTTTATTCTGTTTGCCATTGAAGTTTATTCTGTTTGCCATTGAAGTGTCTGTATTTTTTCGTTTTTAAAGTGAATTGTCTATGAAACAGACAAAGAATCATTCAATGATTTACTACATATATAATTTACTATAAATCGAAAAAATAAATCATATTAACAATTAAAATTATTATAGTTAAATGTAATAATTAGTTATCTTTATCATCTATCAAGTTTAAACGTACTCGTTGTGATTGTGCACAAACATTTTTTTCGTTTTTTAAAGTGAATTGTCTGTGACACCAGCAAAAGTTGTCTATGGCATAAACAATTTATTGTCTGTGTCACGGACAGTTTACTTTACGAATGTAAAGATATTTGTTTAAAGGATGATGAAATTTAATGTGCGGTGTATTTAAAATGTAATCCATCACCTTTAAAATTGTCTGTGGCATAAACAATTTATTGTCTGTGTCACAGACATTACAAATGAAAATAGATTTGTTTAAAGGATGTTGATATTTAACATGTGGTGTATTTAACCTTTAAAATTGGTTGTGTCATAAACAATTTATTGTCTGTCACAGACAATTCACTTTACGAATGAAAAAATATTCGTTTATTTTGTCTCTTCATATTCGAAACATTGTCTGTTGTTCGTTTATTTTGTTTGTGCGGATGAATGTCTGTGTTTTCATAATTTCATAAAAGGGGAAGCAAACATAAGAAATAGTATTACATCATTTGCTACACATCCATAATTTGTATCTACTTTCTCCAAATCTAATAATAGATTATATGCAAATTACTTGTAAGAAGTCACCAAAATGAGTATAAGATTAACAATTTAGTTTTTCAATCGAAATTACATATACAATTGCATAACATGGATGTACATTTGCATAACCCCCTTCCCTTGGTGTCACCTTCATCCTGGGAGGTCATTGGGCTTCCCTATCAACATTTTTTTATTGCCAAGTGCCAACTTCACAATAGCAACATGAAACCAGAACACGTTACTATGCAACTTCAAAAGAGGCGTGTTGGTCGTACTCTTCTAATGAATTCAGAGGCTGAACAACAAAGTTTTTCATCATGTTTTGCTTGCTTAATCAACAACGAAATCACAAAGCAAAACAAACTACATTTGCTTCAAGACTGCATTTACTAATACAAGAGTATCATCTTAAAGGGAAAGCCTAGTAATATAGTCAATGTTCAATCCATACAGAACCATAACTGCAGTTTTATAGAAACATAAACATAAAATAAAAGCTTGATGAGTTTAAATAAATAGCACAAGGGTGAATCTACCACCCTGCAAGTTTAATCAAGTACACTTCCTTTTTAATTAGACTAGTATTTTTCCCCCTCAAGGAAATCATAACTAAACTGAGATATTTGGTAGCTTCTCGTTTTTATAACTCTTGAACTAGAACATAATATAAATATATACTTTAAAGTTAAAATCTACTGAGCAAATAAAATCAAGTTGTTTTGAATAAAATTAAGATAAAACCTACTTTTATCATGTACAATTTTATAATTCGTTATAGTTAATTATATAGTGTGAAAGTCTAATGATGAGAGATCACACTTTAAAGACATTATAGTGTTTAACTTTCAAATATTCTTAAAGCAAAAGAGACATTCGGTTTAAGTCTTCTCAAGGATATCACTTTCATGGATTCTTAAAGCAACTTACTAAATCCTCTTCTCTAAAATCTTAGATATGAACTAGATACTCATTGAATCATTTCAACGAACATGTAATGGGCATAAATAAATTACAATACTTAAACTAAACTTTCAATAATTAACATCACAAATCCACATTAATAAAACAAAATAGTCAAGAATTCAAAATTACTACATATACAATTTACCAAAAATCAGAAAATTTAAATCATTTTAATAATTAAAACTATTATAGTCAAATGTAAACATTAATTCCTAAGTAAAAAAGAAATTCATGAAATCAAGTAGTTTAATGAGCAACTTCACAAACAAAAAATAAACATAAAGTAGAATTAAAAACTAAAGAAAATTCAGTAATCATTTCACTTCACATACAGAATCCAAATTCCAAACCCTAAATTCACAATAGAGAAATAGAAGAGATTTAATGGAAGAGATTTAATACCTTGTGGTTTCTCCGGTAATGAGGCAAAACAGGGGATGAGCTTGCTGTTTTGAGATAAGGAGTCCAAGAGAAAGAAAAGAAAAAGAACCAGAGGAGGAAGCTCCTCCACCACCACCCCGTTTCTCACACTTAGCGATGATGGCACACCCCGTAATCGAACTTCATCGTGTCTAACTTGGATGGCTATATCTCCTTCTATTTAATTATCAATTAAGTAAAAGGGGAAGAAGAGAAGAAAGCAAAAAGCCTAAGAGGCTGAGGAAGAAAACCAGGAGTGGCGAATGATTTGTGCGGTAGGGAAAAGAGAGAGAGGATTGGGGGAATTGGGGATGGGGTGGGAGCCGGGTAAAAAGAAGGGGAAAAGTAAAAACGGGATGGTATTTATGCTGTGTACACCGCTGTGTAAGCGGGTGTGTACACAGCGACTTTTCCTTCATTTACTGAAAACATATGCCAATAAAAACATCATATACACTTTGTAGTACTTTTCCAAATTATCTTATTTCTCTTTGGCTTAGTTCTGAGAACTTGTGTCAGTTTGTTGATATGGTTTGGTATAAGAAGCAAAGGTTGTTTTTTAAAGTGACTTGAAGAGGCAAGCCATTTAAGAAAATATGTGTGTTGCAAAGGGTGTCTTTTGTTACCATTTAGATTTTGTACAACTCTCTGTTCCACATCCACTAAAGTGGCACAACAAGCAAGAATTTTTGTCCCACTCATTCTTTCTTCTAAGTTTTCTTTTGTTTAGCGTAAGGGTCACCCGCCTCGACCAAGACAAAGTATGATTTATAGTCACCCGAAGTACTAAATAGTAAGAGAACAAATTTATTATACGGAGAGGTACGATAAAAGAAAACAGCTAATAGTACCAAACATTTACCAATTGGATCTTGTTAAGCTCTAGGATGCAACTGAATTACATCATCAAAAACCTATCCAAAATCTTTTTCCCTCTCTTTTTTTCAATCCAACTACTCTTCTGAGAAGTAAAAGAGCAGTCACCTTCAATATGAAAATTTTAAGCTTAAACTATTAACTGATAAAAGCAAATATAGCACATAAAACCAATTGTTGACGGCGTACCTATACCATTTGTTTCTCTTAAAAATATCATTTTTTACTCTATTCATTCTCTATAACATTTCTTTCAGAGACAGAGAAATTATTAATAGCCTTACGAAAAGAGCTTAAAATGACATATGGATTTATTCTAACTATGAATGTACCAAATATAGGTGTCTTATGGTTCTATGCTGAAGTGTTTGATTTCTTTAGCAAAATTTTCCTAATAGTTTTTATCTTTTTGATAATTTGATGTGAATATCCTCTTCAAGATTTTTCCCCTGTTGTTAAACTCACAACTGTCAGAATACTTTTAGCTATTGCCACTGCTAAGAATTGGTTTTTACATCAACTTGATGTAAACAATGCTTTTTTACATGGTGATTTGTATGAAGATATATATATGCAGGCTCCTCCAGGTTATTTAGCAGCAAATGACAATAGAGTATGTAAACTTCTTAAGAGTTTATATGGGTTAAAGCAGGCTTCCATACAGTGGTATTGTAAACTATCTGAATCTCTTAAATCTTTTGGTTATAATCAATCTCAAGCAGATTTTTCTTTATTTACTAAAGTAACTAACACTTCTTTTACTGCTTTATTATTATATGTTGATGACTTAATCCTTGCAGGCAATGATTTAAATGAAATCAGTGCTGTAAAAACTTTTCTACATAATAAATTCACTATTAAAGACCTTGGAGAGTTAAAATATATCTTAGGGATTGAAATTGCTAGATCAAAAAAGGGTATTTCCCTTTGCCAAAGGAAATACACTTTAGATATTCTCTCTGATGCTGGATACCTTAACTCAAAACCTTTTTCCACACCTATGGACCCTAAACTCAAACTTTCTAAAACTCAAGGACAACCTTTAACTGACCCTAAAAGCTATAGAACTTTAATTGGTAGGCTTCTTTATCTTACTGTTACCAGACCTGATATAGCATATAGTGTACAAACTTTAAGCCAATTTCTTTCTAATCCTACTGATATACACCTAAGTGCAGCTCATAGAGTTCTCAGGTATCTCAAAAACTCCCCAGGTAAAGGTCTTTTTTATCCATCCTCTTCTGATTTTAAATTACAAGGTTATACGGATTCTGATTGGGCATCCTGCATTGACACCAGAAGAAGTATATCTGGATATTGTTTTTATCTTGGAGATTCTTTAATCTCTTGGAAATCCAAAAAACAAGCTGTTATCAGTAGGTCTTCTACTGAAGCAGAATACAGGGCTGCTGCCAATGCAGTTTGTGAAGCCCAATGGCTTTCATATATTCTTCAGGATTTAAAAATTAATCATTTCTTACCTATTCTTTTATATACTGACAACAAATCAACATATCATCTTGCATATAATCCAATTCAACATCAAAGAACTAAACATATTGAATTAGACTGTCATTTAATTAGAGATAAAATAAATGCTGGGCTGATTGATCTTATACATATTAAAAACAGTTTTCAACTTGCAGATATATACACAAAAGCTTTAGGAAATCCTCTCTTCAACCAGTTTGCATCCAAGATGAACCTGATTGACATCCATGCTCATCTTGAGGGGGCGTATCAAGAATAAATGATGGGCTGATTGCTGTTTCCTTAAGTTAATTAGTAGTTATTGGGCCATTTGTTATTTGGGCCTTACTATAAGGATATTTAGGTGTTGTTTACTTTTTTTTCCATTAAGTCCTGTCTGGATTAAGATGTCTGTCTGTGTTAAGACGTCTGTCTGGAATAAGTGACACTGGTATAATGAGTTGTTTACTATGGTGTTGAATGTATAGTCTGAATCATGTTAAATTACTATTTTGTCCTTGTGCTGTAAGGAGTGCTGAATCACCTGAATGTA